TAGGATATCCTAATGCATGGCAATTATCAAAATTTCAAAGGATTTCGTCAAAAAACAAGAAAGATATTGAGACTTTAGTTTTAGCCAATCAGAGCGTAGCGCACGTGCATGCGCGTGAGTTCTTGCCATATTGACCACATCATCTTGTTTACACTACTAATATATCCTTACATTATGAGTTTCATAACATTTCATCAAAAAATAGAAAAGTTACGGCAATATACATTATATTGGTCATTTCACATGTTGCACGTGCGCGCTCTTGCAAGCACGTGCGCGCAAAATGACCTTCGTTCCGCAAATCTACATAACATGTCTACTGACCCTAAAAACATTTCACCTTAGTTGGATGTGTAGTTTACGAGATCATTCGTGGACAAAAAAGTGCCCAGGAAGAAGAAAAATAATAATAATAAGAAACAGAGTAAAAACAATATGTTCCCCAACTTCGTTTGGGGAACATAACTAGTGCTAATTGTAACGGGGACCGTTACAGATGTTCCCCAAACGCTCCCCAACTCCCTTTTGGTGCCATATTCCCTGTAATCTCTATTAAATAAGAAAAACTTTATGGAATTAAGAATTAATCAAGGTCTTCTTAGAAAAATACAAAATATGTTTAAAAATAGGCATTGCACGCGTGTTCATGTGCGTAACGACCATATTATCTTGTCTTCACTATCTGAAATTTTAATATACTTAATATAAAAGCATTTAATCCAAAAGAATTAAAAAATACACTCATTCGAGTGTATTTTTAATTTTACTTTATGCACGTGCACGCACGTGCATAATGACTACACCTTCTTGTAGGAGTCCCTTATATTTTTCTATGTTCTAAATCCCATCCTGTTTGGTTGAAAAACAAGGGAGTTATAGCCATTTGAAGTTTCAGCCAATCAGATTGCAGCACACATGCATGCGCGTGATTTCATAATTTTTTATCTTTATCGTATTGAAGGATATCTAAATGAATGACTATATTTTAAAATTCCAAACATTTCGTCAAAAAACAAAGGACATATATCCATATAAAGATTCAGCCAATCAGATTGCAGCACACGTGCATGTGCGTGATTTCATGAAAATTTTTATATATCATGCTGTAGATCTTCATAATGTAGGACTATGTTCGAAATTTCAAAAGATTATGACTAGAAACAAGAAAGATATTGAGACTTTATTTTCAGCCAATCAGATTGAAGCGCACGTGCATGCGCATGAGATCTTGCTATTTTGAGCATGTCATCTTTTCTATGCTGCTAATATATCCTTACATTATAAATTTCAAAAGATTTCATCAAAAAATAGAAAAGTTACGGCTATATCCATTATATTGGTCATTTCATGTGTTGCACGTGCGCGCTCTTGCAAGCACGTGCGCGCAAAATGGCATGTTGACCATGTCGTCTTATCTACATTTATGATATGTCTATATATTCTAAATATCAAAGCATTACATCAAAAAATATAAAAATTACGGCAATTTCAAGTATATTGGTCATTTCACGTGGTGCACGTGCGCGCTCTTGCAAGCACGTGCGCGCAAAATGACCTTCGTTCCGCATATCTACATAACATGCCTACTTACCCTAAAAAGGTTTCCCCTTAATCGGATGTGTACTTTACAAGATCATTCGCGGACAAAATTTTCCCGAGAAGAAAAATAATAATAATAAGAAACAGAGTAAAAACAATATGTTCCCCAACTTCGTTTGGGGAACATAATAAGAAACAGAGTAAAAACAATATGTTCCCCAACTTCGTTTGGGGAACATAATAAGAAACAGAGTAAAAACAATATGTTCCCCAACTTCGTTTGGGGAACATAATAATAATAAGAAACAGAGTAAAAACAATATGTTCCCCAACTTCGTTTGGGGAACATAACAAGTGACTTGCCCGCTTCCGGAATATTAACCGGCTTGACCCGGCTTATGAAACAAGTGCGCCCTATTATCTGCAACGCCATGCTGTCCCAGTCAGACGACCAAACGCGCCTCTAATTCTAAAGAGTTCACTAATGGAAATACAACGTATTATTGATTGTTTTGCTATTCATTGGCTTATACTTTCCTTAAGTTTTATTGTAATAATCTCATACTTGTCTGTTCTGGGCTCTAAATTAGAAACAACAGGCCCACGGGCCTTATAGGTCACCTGAGTATCATGTAACAACTTTCCAGCGATTGTATTTGGTTCGTGTTTTAATCCAAAAGCCATGAAATTCACAAATTTTGAAGGAGGCACCATTGCTTATCAAAGGACAGATTTCAAAGCATTAATTTACTTTTAGTCAAAGTACCCCCTGGTACCCCTGACCCAGCGGCCCTGAAATTATCTATTTTGAAAGAAGCCCCTTTCTTCATTATAAGGTCAGCATTTTTTTTATGTTTAGGTTAAGTTATGAACATGAGAAGGAGAAGGAAATAAAAAAAAAATTTTGATAAATCAATTATAAACATTTGTACATTCTTTTTTTTATGCTATTCTGATAGGCTCCTTACCACTGGACACATAATGCTTACAAATAGGAAAGTAGAACATTTAATTGCTTATTTCATCATCTGCCAGTTTGGGCCAGTTACTGTATAGGGGGAAAATAACTCGCGGTGTTAATATTCGCTATATTCACGGTGTTGATGAATCCGTGAATTCAAGAAACAGTGAATAAGTTTTCAATATGTATATATAAGGAAGGAAACTTTTCTTACAAACCAATTCCGCGAATTCAAGAAACCGCGACGGGGTCAGAGAAGAGAAAAACGTGAAAATTACAACCCGTGAAATTAATCCCCTATACAGTATATAAATTTTGTGATGTTGGTAAAAATATATTTTAAAAAATCAATTCTTTAAAAGTCTTTCAATATAACTTCATTTTTTTAATATGTGTTAGGTGAATGTGTAGAAATTGTTCTAAAACAAACGGAGTATTGGGGAGTAGGGTGAACATTTTTTCAATTAAGTGTAAAATAATTCTTCTGGCTGATACAACTGATACTACATGCCTGTATATATTTGTATATTCTTGCCTTTTAATAGTTGAATTTTTTTTATTTCTTCAGGTTATTGTTTATTTCTTCCTCAAATGGACTTAACTTCTCCTATAGTTTTATTCATTACATCTGATGATAAGCAACCCTTTTCTGAGAAGAATGATGCTTAGACTGTAAGCTATAACAGAGACCTAAACAATGTCGCTGGCAATATGCAATAGCTACCACGGGCAATTTAAAACCTGGGGGAGGAAAATAATTTACAGACAGATACTTTTGAAACGAATACATAATTATCTCACCAGCATGTCATTGTGCAACAAAGTCGTCAGCATTTTATTTGTCCTTTGAACGGGTGAAACGTTTTGAATGACACTCGTATCGATGAATTTTACACTAAACCAAGCTATCTTCTCAGATCTAGCTTTATTTACCCGCCGTTTCATCTTAAAACCGGAAGTGCGAGTTCGTAAATTTGAAATCTCGATCCCGACTCAAATTTGACATCGGAAAGAAAAAATTTTTTATTTTTTTCTGAAAATTCAAAACCTTGAGCGGAGGGTTTGTAAAACTGAAAATAAAATAAATCCTGGCCTTAAATATGTAATTAGATCATTAGTATACCGGGTATTAACCAGGAGCAAAGGATAAGATGTTCAAAGAATTCATGCATTTCACTATATAATCATTAGAGCCCCACCCTAAAACAAGAACCCCTGACCCTGGGGCCATAAAACTCACAATTTTGGTAGAGGCACTCTTGCTCATCATAACTATGTACTTAGTTAGTTTATTTAATACCCAGGAGCAGAGAAGAAGATTTTCAAAGAATTGATGTATTTTCACTATATAATCAATAGAGCCCCGCCCTAACACCAGAACCCCTGACCCTGGGGCCAAAAAATTCACAAGTTAGAGTCGCGGCACTCTAGCTCATCATAACTATGTACTTAGTTGGTTTATTTAATACCCAGGAGCAGAGAAGAAGGTTTTCAAAGAAATAATGCATTTTCACTACCTACTTATTTAGCCCCGCCCTAGCACTGGAACCCCTGACCCTGGGGCCATGAATTTCACAATTTTAGTAGAGGACTCATTGCTGATTACAATCATGCAAACAGTTTGACTGCTTGATGTCCAGGAGAAAAGAAGAAGATTTTTAAAGATTGCATTAATTTTAGTGGTTTTGGCCCCACCCCTCAGGCCCCAGGGGGACAGGGACCATGAAATTCACAATTTTTGTTCCCCTTCACCCATAGATGCTGTATACCAAATTTGGTTGAAATTGGTTCAGTAGTTCCAGAGAAGAAGTTAAAAATGTTCAAAAGTTTACGAACGACGTACGACGACGGACGAAAACGGATAGCAATAGGTCACCTGAGTTTACTCAGGTGACCTAATAAAGTGTTCTGTTCTATAATTACATGAATTGCTCTCTGTCTCTCTCTCTCTCTCATGTAAATTTATATAATATACATATAAAATAGAATAATAATTTTCAATCAAATACCATGTGAATCACTAATTCACTTATACATTTTTCAAACGTTTTGAATTTAAATAAATGATATTTGCTTACCGGAGACTTTATATTGGTCCGATTTATAGGGGAAAATACTTCTAACGACAAATAATTATTATTTGGTCCAGGCTTCCAGCATAGTTTTTTAACCAATTTCGAGTATTCCGAAAAACGTATGAAAATGGCGTTAAATAGGTCAAAATATATATTAATCAATCCTAATTCTTTTTACCATTTTTTTTTTTAACCAAATGACGCTAAAATATATGACATGCATTTTACTCTGTGCGAAATGTTGGGGGAAGTAATTTTTATTTACCTGAGACCGATATCGCAAACCGCGATGGCGTGGATCAGGTGAGGGCCCGAACCGCGAGAATACGCGGTTTTACCTGAGTTACCTGTATTAAACCCGATCAATTTCACACCGCGAGGACTCGCGGTAAATACGGAAACCGCGTTGACTCTAGTGTATTTACCTTCCAAGGACCAGATTGACATGACTGTTTAAAATTCTCATCTGGCGATAAACAATTTGGATAATCACAACGGCTTTGCACAATGCTAGAAAAGTCGAATGCTGGAAGCACCATGTTTCCCTCATCTTGTCCATTTTCCAAAGATACACCTAAATGTCCGACCCATTTCCTGACGGCATCTTGATAATCACATTGATATATTCTATAAAGGATCTGTAAAGGATACATGTGTATTTTGAAAAAAAAAAATTTCTTTACATCGAATGAAAAAGAGAAGATAACAAACAGTAATAATTTAATTTCACTTGTATCAAGCTATTTCATTGGCTGAATCATTCAGAGGAACATATAATATTTTGGATAACATAACTTGCCTACGTCACAATGAATTACGTCAAAAACGTATTACTCCGCTTGATGTTACTTTTAAAATAATGCACAATTTGAAGCCTTATTCTGGAGGAAAAATTGTCTTATTGTCTATACTGAAATTAAATTATAAGGAATGAAGCTAATTTCAACTTATGTTATACGATATAACAAAACTTGGGGCAGTTTACGCTTTTTTATAAACCGCTTCGCGGTTTATAAAGCGTAAACTGCCCCAAGTTATGTTATATCGTATAACATAAGTTGAAATTAGCTTCATTTCTTAAATAAATCTTAAAAATTCAAACAATGCAAAAACTTAAAAGGGTACAAAATACGGGTCTCTTGTAAATTTCAGAGGTAGGATCAGATCAAGGTCATATTTAAAGGCCAAAATATCTGAAACTGTCGGACTGTCGGTCCAATGATCCTCATTTTAATCTGTATACGGATATGTACATGTACTTCCTGCGGATTCACTCATATTGAAATAGGAGTTAACAGTCCTCTTAACTGTAATACTTATTTGAAATTTTAACAAAAACTATTAAATATTTGTAACATTTATCATTTGCACTTAAATAAATTTTATTTCATTCATATTCATTTAAGAAATAAACAACGTTATTTAGTGAACATGGCGTTATGAATAGCAATAGCTCTGCTGGCATATTCCATGATGCGCGCTAGCGCATCATGGAAAATATGCCAGCAGAGCTATTGCTATTCATAATGTCATGTTCACTAAATAATCGTTGTTTATTACATATATTTGCATTCTTTGATGGTGTCAAGAATATCAGAGAAAATCCTGGCTTACATAAGGATATGGCTTGTTGTCTTCAGTAAAGAAAAACACACGGCTTTAAAATTAGTGTACCTGATCATTTCACCTTTTCTCTGATACATCACAAACAATTTATAAAGTATTAGCCTTTTTTAAAACACGGTTATCAGATACAAGCTGCGCCGTCGTCATATTCTCTTAATTTTTGTTTTGATGCAGGTGTGACGTCATCGATCAACGTTATTGAAACCCTCTGTCAAAAATCAACACTGTAGCCTTAAAGAGAATGCTTTAATAATCATTATAACTCCAGAATGCTTTTCTATATGATTTTTTAATTTTTTTCTATTTGTTTTTAAGAGTTGAAATCGTTCTTGAATTTTGCTTTTTATGAATGTTTTATCACCTAAGTGTGACGAGATACCTTTCTTTGTACAAATATGCATGATACGAAAAAATAAAAATATGGCAGTTCTCTTCAATTTTTAAAAATTTTATTATACAATTAAATACATTGACCAAAATTAAATTTTTAAAGATATAAATCAACAATTTTAAATTGTTCTGAATGTCTTTTTTCCCACAATTTTTTATTAAAAACTTATATTTATTTTTTTTAAAGAAACATTTCATATATATATATATATACATGTACTTCTCAACACACTATAAAAGTGTAGTTGAGCTTACACTACATGAGTGTGCCCGTGGGGATCCGGGTTAGAATAGGTCCTCAGTACCCCTTGCTTGTCGCACAAGGCGACTAAATGGGGCGGTCCTTCGGATGAGACCGTATAAACCGAGGCCCCATGTCACAGCAGGTGTGGCACGATAAAGATCCCTCCCTGCTCAAAGGCCCTGAGTGCCGAGCATAGGCCTAAATTTGCAGCCCTTCACCGGCAATGGTGACGTCTCCATATCAGTGAAATATTCTGGAGAGGGACGTTAAACAGTATACAATCAATCAATAATCACTACATAAGTGTGAAAGAGCAATTGCATTCATAGCACCAGCAGTTGCGTCTACAGTGCTATGAATACAGTTGATGACTACATGTTCCTAGTGGCAGAGAGCAGTAGATATGCAAATATATATAAATACATAACAAAGTTGGTTATAAGGAGAAGTAGTTCGTATTTGACCAAGATTAATCTTTTTAAGCTACAAACAATAAAAGGCTAATTTTAATGCAGCGAAAGCTCAAATTGTCTGCACTCTATTCACAGGTAAACAAACAAATTTACACTCTGGTGTTAAATGGAACAGCGTTAACGCAGCAAGGTGACCTAATTCGTTTCTCTTTTGAGAAACGATCGTTTGCTAGTACATGTATCAGAATAGAAATAATTAAGGTTCTTGTTTTCGTGATAATGCAGAATAACCTCCTCCTTGTTTGAAATATAAAAGGTTTGGCTAACGCCTCGGCTTTTATCTTTCAAACAACATTTCTCGACCTCGGAGGTTATTCTGCAACATTCATGAAAACGTGGACTTTATTTCTTAAGTAAAATCCGGACCGGGCTGGGAATATAGGATTAAATTCTTTAGACCCGGTTTTTTTTTCTCATGGTCAGCTATATGTAGATTTGTTCATTCCTTTCAGGCAGTCACACTTTTTTAGGTCACCTGAGTAAACTCAGGTGACCTATTGCTATCCGTTTTTGTCCGTCGTCGTTCGTCGTGCGACGTGCGTCGTTCGTCGTGCGTTAACATTTAAACATTTTCAGCTTCTTCTCTGAAACCACTGAACCAATTTCAACCAATTTTGGCATATAGCATCTGTGGGTGAAGGTAAACGAAAATTGTGAATTTCATTGTCCCTGCCCCCCTGGGGCCTAGGGGGTGGGGCCAAAAGCACTAAAATTAGTGCAATCTTTAAAAATCTTCTTCTTTACTCCTGGACATCAAGCAGTCAAACTGTTGGTATGATTGTAATCAGCGTTGAGTCCTCTACCAAAATCGTGAAATTCATGGCCCAGGGTCAGGGGTTCTGATGTTAGGGCGGGGCTCTATCAAATTATATAGTGAAAATGCATTATTTCTTTGAAAATCGTCTTCTCTGTTCCTAAGAATTAAATAAACTAATTAAGTACAAAGTTATGATGAGCAAGAGTGCCTCTACCAAAATTGTGAAATTCATGGCCCCAGGGTCAGGGGTTCTGGTGTTAGGGCGGGGCTCTATTGATTATATAGTGAAAATGCATTATTTCTTTGAAAATCTTCTTCTCTGTTCCTGAGTATTAAAAAAACTAATTAAGTACATAGTTATGATGAGCAAGAGTGCCTCTACCAAAATTGTGAATTTTATGGACCCAGGATCAGGGGTTAGGGTGGGGCTCTATTAATTATATACTGAAAATACATTATTTCTTTGAAAATCTTCTTCTCTGCTCTTGGATATTAGATAAACTAAGTACTAGTACGTTCATAGTTATGATGAGCAAGAATGCTTCTTCCAAAATTATGAATTCTATGGCCCAATGGCCAGGGGTAATGGTGTTACGGAGTGGCTCTATAATGATTATATAGTGAAAATACATTACGTCTATGAAAATCTTTTTCTCTACTCCTGGGTAATAAACAGATGTACTACATATACAGTTTTGATGTGCAAGGGCTCTTTCTCCAGAATTATAAATTTCAAGGCCCTTGTGTCAGGGATACCGAAGAGGGGGGGCTCTACTTATATACTGAAAATGAATTGTTTGAAATCTGCTCCTTATATTAATCAAATATTATTGATAAGCAAGTGTGCCTTTTCAAAAATTATGCAATGTGTATAGTTAGGGCCAGGGGTTCATGTGTGGTAGGGGCACTTATAATTATTGCTGAATATTACTGATTAGTTGAAATGCATTGTTTGTTCCCCTGCCCTGCTCATGGGTATTAAGTAAACAAACTGAACAATTGCTGAGTGTATAGTTATGATTAGCAATGGTGCCTCTTTTAGAATTGTGAATGCCATAGCATCTAGCTTGAAACATTAACCAAATTCAATCATTTGAAAGTTGTTGCATGAAGCCCAGGTGACCTATAAGGCCCGTGGGCCTCTTGTTTAACAAAGAGATCATCTTCCAAGAACAATATTTACATTCGCTGTGTTTTTCTACTAAGCCAGCTGTGAAATTGATTTGAAGACCATTTTCATACTCACGCGTAGAAATATACACGGAGAAACTGCGTTAACGTGACGTCATAATTAGGCTGCAGCGACGTTAGTAAAAAAGCAAAAATATACGGCAGCTATGTTATATTACAATCTTTATTGTAGACGTTCAATGTTGAATTCTTTACTTGCAGTCAAAAATATAAAAATGTTAAATGTACATACTCAACTTTGTGGAGATGATTCATTATCTTTGCAAGAAAATGAAAGAGTATTTGGTATTGTTCATAATTTTTTTCAGGATACTGGTCGTTTCATTTATAACAATTATTTGTATTTAGTACCTCTTTTGAAACTATTTTTATTATAATTATTGTCGTCATTATAATCAACAGAATATTAATTTATATTTTTGGCAATAATAGCTATTGTTTTTGTTCTTTTATGTTCATGTATATTATTGTAAAACTGTAAAACTTTGTAAATATTGTATGGTTATTGAGATTTTTATGTATGGGAGAGGACTATCTAAGTTTTTGGAACTCGTGTCCAATCCCTTTGACATGTTGTCAATAAAATATTTTCAAAACAAAACAATCTTCGTAAAGCGTTTTTAAGCATATAGATGTTATTACAGATTTAGGACCAGAGGAGGTTGGCTTCTATGCAATACATTGAATAACACCTCACAATTTTTGCAACTGTCATCATAATTTTTTTTACCAGCAAGCAGAATAAGGAAAGTATAAGAAAATTGAGACTATGAATAGTATATAAATGAAAGTTCCCATCATTCAAATATTTGTAATTATAGATTAAATGAGTAAAAATTGAGGTATTTCCTGCTATATATACTTAGGGGTCACTAGCATAAAAGAAGGTCATTGACGAAGTTAAAAGTGAACAAGCAAATTCAATGAATTATGGTCCCCCGCTTTCGGTGTCTTCGTTGGTGAGATGTCATTTTTATGCCATATTGTGCCAAATATAAACGCCCTATCATATGTCATTCAGAAGTTATCACCGAAGTTGATTATTTTGAAAATTATGTCAATCGTGAAGGCCAAGAGGTCAGAAATCATAGATGCTCGGAAATACTTTGTCACAGGTAATGCACTTGTCAATTATGAAAGCCCTTTATCTTCTCAATCAAAAGTTTTAGGGAAAAATTAAAATTTTTGAATAGTAGGTCAAACTTCAAGGTCACAAGATAAAAAAAAACATCGTGTGTTTAGAAAGATCTTGTCACAGACAATACACAGGTTTAATATGAAAGCCCTACCCGATATGTCTTAGCTTCTATTCAGAAGTCATGACCAAGGTTAAATTTTTTGTAAGCAAGTCAATCTTCATGATCAAAGTGACGAGACCAAAAATCAAAGTGTATTTAGAATTAAGGTTATGCCACAGATAAAACACACCTTGAATATGAAATCCCTTTCTCTCCTCACTCAAAAGTTATGGACAATTTAGGTCAAACTTCAAGGTCAAGGTCACGGGGTCAAAAATCAAAATGTATTTTATAATGCCTTGTCACGGGCAATACACCCTATCTCTTCTTATTCAAAAGTCATGACCAAGGTTATGGTTTTTGAAAAGTAAGTCAAAGCATCAAGGTCACGATGTCAAAAATCATAGTGTATTCAGAAAGATCACAATCAATACACAATTTTAATATGAAAGCCCTACCCGGCATGTCTTAGCTTCTATTCAATAGTCATGACCAAGGTTAAAGTTTTTGTAAGCAAGTCAAACTTAATGATCAAGGTGTCGAAACCAAAAATCATATTGTATTAACAATTAAGGTCTTGTCACAGATAAAACATGTCTTTAATATGAAGGTCCTATCTCTCCTCATTTAAAAGTTATGGTTAATTTAAAGTAAAGGTAAAATTTTTAAGTAGGTCAAATTTGTAGGTCAAGGTCACGGGGTCTAAACTCATAGTGTATTTAGAAAGGTCTTGTAACAGGCGAAACGCATTCTTCTTATCTTTTTATTCAAAAGTCATGACCAAATTTATTGTTTTTGAAAAGTAGATCAAACTTCAAGGTCAAGGTCACGAGACGGGGTAAAAAATTACAGAGTATTTCGAACGATCTTGTCACATGTAATATAAATATTTAATATGAAAGCCCTATCTCTTCTCATTCAAAAGTTTTGTTTAATTCAAATTAATGTTTAAATGTTTTAAAAGTGAGTGAAACTTTAAGGTCAAGCTCACGGGGTCAAAGAACATAGTGTATTAAGAAAGGTCTTGTCATAGGTCTTGTACATCTGTAATATGAAAGCAATTTTTTTTATGCGCCCGGATCGATAGATCGAGGCGTATATTGTTTTTGTCCTGTCTGTTTGTCTGTTATCAACTTTAACCTTCGCCATAACCTTTGAACCATGAAAGATAGAGACTTCATATTTGGTATGCATACTCCACCAATGAAGGTCTTTCAAATGACACCAAGGTCAATGACCTTGTGACCTTGACTGTGACCTATTTGCTAAAAAATAGCTTTTTCGAATTTTCGCCATAACTTTTGAACCATGAGAGATGGAGACTTTATATTTGATATGCATACTTCACCAATGACGCTCTTTAAAATGACACCAAGGTCAATGACCTTGTGACCTTGACTGTGACCTTTATGCTAAAAATAGATTTTACAAACTTTCTTCATAACTTTTGAACCATGACAGATAGAGACTTCATATTTGGTGTGCATACTCCACTAATGAAGTTCTTCAAATGACACCAATGACCTTGTGACCTTGACTTATCTTCTGAAAATATTTTTTTGAACTTTGTTGCCGTCGGGCGCATAGTGTTTCACAAACACATCTTGTTTTTCATTCAAAAGATATGACCAAGGTAAAAGTTTTTGTGACGGATGGACAGAGCTACAGACTGACAGACAAATGATATTTTTAATGTCCCCTCTCTTTCGCAAATGCGGGGGACAAAAATGATTTCACACTGTAACAAAATATCACTTTAATATCCTTTCACACTGTGAAATAATATAACTTTTTTCATTAATAAAGAACAGTATTTCACTGTTGAAGATGTAATAAAGAGTAATATAATTACCTGATCAACAATTCTCAATGAGGTTCTAAGCATGGTTCGGAGACAAACATCTTCTGTCATGGTATATGCCATTATGGTCAGAAATTCACCAACAACTACATAAAGTAACTAGACAAAGTGCTAATTGTAACGGGGACCGTTACAGATGTTCCCCAAACGCTCCCCAACTCCCTTTTGGTGCCATATTCCCTGTAAGCTTCATTAAATAGGACAAAATCTATGCATTGAGACTTTAACAACGCCAAGTTCATTCAAATTTTAGCATTGGACGCGTGCACATGTGAATGCATGTGCGTAATGACCATATCATCTTGTCTACACTCTATACATTTTAATATACTATATATTAAAGTATTTTATCCAAAATTATTTAAAAATACGCTCATTCAAGTGTATTTTTGATTTAACTCATTTCACGTGCACGCACGTGCATACATGAGCATGGTGTCAATATCTTCATGTAGACGTCCATTACATCTCTCTATGTTCTAAATCCCACTCCGTTTGGTTGAAAACCAAAGCAGTTATAGCTGTTTAAAGTTTCAGCCAATCAGATTACAGCGCAAGTACACGCACGTGTATGCATGTGCATGGCGACCATATCATGTTGTAGAAGTTCATTATATCTATCTATGTTCCAAATTCCATCCTGTTTGGTTGAAAACCAAGGGAGTTATAGCTATTTAAAGTTTAAGCCAATCAGATTGCAGCGCACGTGCATGCACGTGATTTTATGACAAATGCTATATATCAAGTAGTAGGATATATTAATGCATGGCTATGTTCAAAATTTGATAGGATTTCGTCGAAAAACAAGAAAGATATAGAGACTTTAGTTTCAGCCAATCAGAGCAAAGCGCACGTGCATGCACGTGAGATCTTGCTATTTTTACCATGTCATTATGTCTATATTACTAATAAATAATCAAATTATGAGTTTCAAAGCATTTCATCAAAAAATAAAAAAGTTACGGCTATATCTATTATATTGGTCATTTCACGTGTTGCACGCGCACGCTCTTGCAAGCACGTGCGCGCAAAATGACCTTGATTCCACAAATCTACATAACATGTCTACTGACCCTAAAAAGGTTTTACCTACATCGGATGAACAGTTTACAAGATCACTCCCGGACAAAAAAGTACCCAGGAAGAAGAAGAAGAAGAATAATAATAAGAAACAGAGTAAAAACAATATGTTCCCCAACTTCGTTTGGGGAACATAATTATACACGTTATCTAATAATCTTGTATGGAGGCCTCAAAGAGAAATAGGATTTAAATAATTTTAAAAAATAGTTATTGGAATTATTTGCAGGTGTCATAACAGTATTACACTTTGGTTCACGTCAAATCATGGCTGACACAAAATAATCCCGGAATCTTCCCTTCCGATTCGGGCATTTTGATACGAGACTGGAGCTGAATTTTTTTATGAGATGAAAAACAACATGTAAACTTCCTGTATTGACCAGATTTATTAAAATTTAGGGCGTGCTGATTTTTCTATATACTGTCAAGAGTGGGGAGTGATTAGGCCCTGGACTAGATTTTCAAGCACCTGCTCGACTTCGACCGAAACAAACTTGCGTGCCTTGCTGGATGGCTATGTATTTTTTGGTACTAAAATCTTTATAAAGAATGGTTTTACAAGATCTGAAAAGGAAACTTCTCAGAAGTTTGTTTTGAATTAGTTACATCTACTCAAACTTGCACATTTTTGGTAAGAATATATAGCAGAAATTAATACTGTTGTGACACCTAAGAAATAACGTATCATTTGTATATGTATTTATCGAGATATAAATACAGATTTAGTCTCTCACCATGAAAGCTTAAAAGTGTGTTAATTTATAAAAAAGTGAACTCTAATATTTTATTAAGTAACTGTAACTTTATACGGATTGGCTATTTATATTTTAGTCTTTGGTCATTCACTGTCGGAAACTCACAGGGCTCAATGAGCATACATAAAATTTATCGACACTGTACCTGAAGTATCCGGTGTCTGCATTGGGGGGTTTTCCAGGATAGCAGTTGATGATAATCGAGGAATGTTCACAGGTGGTGGAGGTGGTGGTAGGTTCAGAAGCTGCCGTGGTATATGCTGCCCGTTACAAACTAAAACATGTTGGTCGTTTATGCCTGTACATATTTCAGTACATTCTGCTATTGGTCTAGATCGCCTAGGCCTTTCATTGTTTTCTTGGCGGTTACGTGAGATATTAAAATCATGATTAAGCTGATTCGAATTCGATGAGTGTGCATGGTCTGTCTGATTTTCTGATGTTCCCTGTCTGAGGGGATATACTTGAACGTATGTGAAAAAAGCATTATCACTGGCTAAGTTACCATCGTAAGGTTTCTTTAATATTCCGTCAAGTCCAAAAAATTTCGAGTTGAGCTTTTCATAATAAAAAAAATGAGTAGATAGCACGTAAACAACCCATAACACTGAAACACAAATGCTGAATCCCCCAGCCATCTACCTGACCACAATTACATTTTCAATATATCTGAAGAACAAAAATAGAATACGTAGTCCATTCCATCAGTAAATCATTCACATATGATAATGATAACATCAATTAACACCACAATCTTCGAATTAAAAAAAAACCCTAGATTTCTGTTATCATGTTCTAGTTTCGGTTCTAAAAAAGGAAATGGGATTTTTCAAAGCTAAAAATAAATAGCTCTTTAAAATTTCTCAAATGATTCAATTTTCGCCTTTGTCAAATAATCTTTTTTTTTCGATTTGTCAGATCATTATATGTGTCATCTTCTCAAATAATTATGCTGACCTGATATTTTCCAGCTTGGAATTTTTATGCGTATTTGTAGAACCGTCTGAGAATTGTTTTTGTCGATGTATTCCTCAACAAAATTACTTTAACAATTGTACGTGTATGTTTAAAAGTTTAGTTAAACGAACGATTCACCAAAGATTGACAGCTAGGCTAACCTGAAATTCCTATATTTTTTAATTCTTTAAAATATTTAATATCGTTACTTCGAGAATTCAGAGACATTTTTTGAGCATATTTAACTATATATTGTCTGATTTTATGAATGTTTTAATCCGAGGACCGAACTACATTAAGTAGGTCTTAAACCATAACATAAAACGATGAAAGTACATGTACTAAGTCTCTACTTTATTTTGATGTTTAGAATAGGACATAAAGTGTCGGTCAATAAATTGGTATATCAACAGAGCCGTTTTATGCATAAAATGAACCGAGCTCTTTACATGCATACATGTATTTGCCTTATTTGGCCTCTTTAGCTCCGAATCAGCGCTTGGCAAAATTTACATTCCGGTAGACGAGACATCAACTCAACTAACTTTCAAAGTTTTCACAGAGAAAACAAATAGAAATGGAAATATTATAAGTTTACTCGTCATGTTTTACATTATGTCAATAATAAAAACAAACATATGAGCTGAGGTAGCTTGATTAGTAATTCAGTATTTAATAAATGGGAGTCAAGAACCCTGACAGGATAAACAACAGTTCCTGCGAAAGTTAGTAAATTTACAAAATTTCATTATTTTCACAACGCTGCAATATTCTGACTTGTCTGCACATTCTGAAAATGAAACAAACAAATAACATCAAATCATGTATGTGCATACATGTATATTTACTTTATGTAATTCTTCAGAGAAATGTAAATGTAAAATAAACCCCAGATAACTTCAGACTTCAAAAAATAATTGGTTTATATACATGTATAGTCAGGAGAACTCACTTTCAAGACAGCTTTCCATTTTGCACATTTTTATCGTCTTTGGTCTCTTCACAGAGGTACAATGGCGCCCAGCGTGAAGCTTGGTTTTGGACCAGACACAGTTTAGCGTTCTTGTTTTAAAACCATTTGTTCCACATTCACCAAGACACTATATATACCACAAAGGAGGCTCATTATATGTTTCATAATAATATGAAACAAGAGGCCCATTGGCCACATCGCTCACCTGAGAAGCGTTGACCATTCTGTTCTTTACCAGATTTCCCCCTTGTAATACATATTGTGTCCCCACCCTACCCCACTGATCATAATTAAGACAATTTGAAATCTACACTACCATAGGATGCTTTGATTCCTCTTTGTAAAAATTTGATTCCCCATTGTGGCTCCGCCCTACCGTCATGATTTTAACAATTTAGAATCTACACTATCCTAGGATGCTTCCACATAAGTTTCAGCTATTCTGGCCCAGTGGTTTTTGAGAAGATTTGTAAAGATTTTTCCTATATATTTCAATGTTAAACTTTGATTCTCCCAAGTGGCCCCGCCCTACCCCCAGGGGTCATGATTGGAACAATTTAGAATCTACACTACCCTAGGATGCTTCCACATAAGTTTCAGCATTTCTGGCCAGGTGGTTCTTGAGAAGAAGATTTTTAAAGATTTTTCCTATATATTTCTATGTTTGATTCCCCATTGTGGCCCCGCCCTACCCCCGGGGGTCATGATTTGAACAATTTAGAATCTTTACTACCCCAGGATGCTTCCACATAAGTTTCAGCTTTTCTGGCCCAGTGGTTCTTGAGAAGAAGATTTTTAAAGATTTTTCCTTTATATTTCTATGTAAATTTTTGATTCCCCATTGTGGCCCCGCCCAACCCCCGGGGGTCATGATTTGAACAATTTAGAATCAATCTACACTACCCCAGGATGCTTCCAAATAAGTTTCAGCTTTTTTAGCCCAGTGGTTCTTTAGTAGAAGATTTTTAAAGATTTTTCCTATATATTTCTATGTAAAACTTTGATTCCCAATTTTGGCCCCGCCCTATCCCCGGGGGTCATGATTTGAACAATTTAAAATCTACACTACCCTAAGATGCTTCCACATCAGTTTCAGCTTTTCTGGCCCAGTGGTTCTTGAGAATAACATTTTTTTTAATGACCC